CAGTAGCCAGGGTTCCAGCATACGCTACTGTGAGCTGAGGAAAAGGGAAATGAATAGGAACTTTGCTAGCTGAGAAGTTCTAATGCATGAGATGCTCTTGGGAATTCAGAAAACATGGATTTAGTTTCTGTTCTATCTATAGGTCACACTTCACACGTAGGACATCAGTGGAGCTAGAGCTGGAGGTGATTGGATATAATTGTGGTGATGAGTAATTTCACTGAAAGCTTTTTGCTGTGACAACAGTATGGCATTAAAACTGCTCATATTAAGTGACAAAATACAACTGCCAATTCCCAGGCTGTGAAGCAGCTCCAGACACTGTCAGACAGTGATGAAGAGAGGACATGGAAAGCTCCTCTAGGAGAGGACTTGGACATTCCCTGTAACATGTGGAATCTTTCTTTCTCTACAACTGATAAAATACTATTTCTCCACTTCCCCTCAATTCTAGTGTCTCATTTCTGTATGGCAGTGAAGAGCTTTGTATTCTCTGTCCTGTAGAACCAAGAAAAAGAGCAACTAGGCCTTTTAACTTTCTTGCTCCTTTTCCCTAGGCAGTCAGGTTTGTCAGCCTTGCAGGGCCTCAGCCTGGACTCAAGTTGCCTAACCGTAGTGAGTGGAGAGCTATTTTGAATGTTTTAAGAATAATAGTGCTGTTTGTATTCCCAGGTTGTTATTGTTGGTTTTTCTTCTGATTTTGCCAAGTACTATGACATTATTGACTCATAGTTAGCCCGTATTTGGCTCATTCTTGGGCATTCTCCTGCCTTTGAACAGGTCACTCTCTGCCTTGCATTGGTAAATTTGAGCCTACGTTTCTTGAGTGCAGAAACCGTAGTTGTAGTCACCGAATTCCATCCTGTTCTATCCAGGCTGGGGCTCTGTCTCTTCAAATTCCAGCCCTGCTCTCCTACATGCTCCGGCCTCTCTTACTGTAATGCAACCTGCTGATTTTAATAGGTCCATTTTCTCTCCCCAAGCTCTGAAATCCAGCAACACCCAACATGTTCATTAGGACAGAGGATGAGCCCACCTGTCGCATCCTTTCTAACACAGAGCAGTTGATAATAATCTCTTGTACGATGATTATTTTAATTTACAGAAGTCTGTGGTTATAATTTTATGTAGAGAGTGTTTGTCTAGTTTAAGGATGGGAACGATTTGTCAGACTGTACCACAACCAGTTAGATCAGTTTGATGTGGTTTTCATTCAGGAAATATATTTTTACTCATCTTGCTGTGCTAAAAAAAATTGTATGTTTGACTATTTCTGGAAAGATTGGCCTGTTATTTCCTGGCTTTTCCTCTTTTTCCTTGGCAGTATGTTGCTATTTTCCAGTCTCCTGACTTCGGTAATTTTCAGAGGCACCTCTGAATGTGTTTGGGGGTTTCTGATGCTTCTTGAAATGCCTGAGTGTATTTCAAGGGTGACAGTTTCCACTGTGGCAGTACTGCAGACTCTTCCCTTCCCGGAGCTGGGCCAATCCGGGCTGCGCACACACTGACTCGCCCCCTGAGCTGGAGAGACCTGACCTGCTCCCGTGGCTGCTTATTCCTGTGGTCTCTGGCAGACGGAAACCCCAAATGGAAGTGACTGAAGCACAATGCTGCTTAGTCGACAGTTGCGTAGTTGCCTGACTAACAGGAGGCTAAAGGCTGTGGGTAGTACTGAAGCGACACCGACGCAATAAAAAGCACAGAAGCTGTATCCAATACATGTGTGTTCTTTACTAAAAGTTTTGTGTAAAGATCAGTATACTAAAAATTGAAGCAAAAGAGATGGCTACAGAAATACAGTATTGTTATCACATAGCAAGAAACAGCATGTCCAACCAATTTTCTTTCTGATATTAGTCATGTAATAAACGAAAGACCTGTGTTAAGCCCCTTTTAGGACTGTTACAAAATTTACAGAAGAGTTTCGTATCCTCCTATCAGATTTTATCCTACTTTCTGAAGAGGAGCATGAGGAGACACTGTCAACTTTGCTGAGGTTTATCCAGGATCTTACATATTCTCCAAGAAATGAAACCATGTTCTTACTGCATCACTACAAGAAATCTCATCGCTGTTCCGCAGTAGCGGTGAAGCTGTTAGAGCAGCTCTAGAGCTACAAACTTCTCTTTGTATATCGTCTGTTTGCAGAGGTATATGAGTTGGATTTATAAGCGTTTGTTCCCCACAGCTTTGACAGACATCACCTTGTTAAAAAGATTAACAAGCGTGGAAAATTCTCAGCCACTCTTGCAAGTGGTCATGGTGAGGTATCACCGAAGGTGGCACACTCTACTTGGAATTCACAGTTTGGTTTTTTGGAGATACTTGTCTATAACTAATGACATAACCTATACATTTAGTGGTAACTTAAAAAAATGCTACAGTATGGCAGTGTATGTTTTGGCTGGCTCCCATACCCATGTGACAAAGAAGCTGGTACTATTCTGATGGGCAAGTCCCTCACTGTGAACTCTGTGTAGCCGGGTTGCGAGATGACTTGACTTTACAAAGCGGTACACCGTAAGAAGGAGTAGACAGCTATTTGTAAACTATGCTGCTATGTACAATCCAGATCACAGTGCTAAGGATGCTAACTGTTACCAAACGAAGAAAGGCTTTTATTAGTTTTCTGTAATCTTAGTAATGCATTTCTATCATGACGTAAAATACAAATCTCCTGTTTTCCTCAGAGGCTTACTTAAAATCAGTTTATATTGTAAACCACAAATAGAAAGTTAGTGGAGGGTCATGAAATCCCTGTCAGGTTAAAAGTCAAGCAGGTTGAAAGGATTTCCCAAAATGCACAGAAACTGTAGACATGGGTAACAGCGTAGAGGCTTGCCTGCCAGATGTGAGAAACCCTCCGTGCTTGTCTTCAGAAGAACCTTCAGGTTTGCCATGGTACATGTAAGAGAGACTCATTTTCATGAAGGGGAAAAAAAAGATCACATTTGCCTTTTAGTATTTTTTTATCAGATTTCCCCCTCCACCTTCCCAATAGCAGCCTGAAGTAACAGGGCCTGGTCCCAGTGCCTTATCCTGTTCTAGGCAGGTCTCCAAGAGCTGCAGGAGGACACAGCTATGAAAGCATGTCCTGTTCTGCATAAAAAAACCTCTGTGCTTTCCTTCACTTTTTCTTTTCCTGCCAATAAAATTGTCCGTTACATTTCCATGTTGGTTTTTCTTTCTGGCCCCTAATAGATGGTGCAGAGTTTTGCTTCTCTTATCGCAGGATACTTTGCATACCACAAAACTCTTTGCACTAGTACTTTGTACAGAGGAATATTAAAAAATATTTAATATTCCTGTTAAAAATACCAATGTGAAATATAGCCTGCCAGCAGTTTTGCAATGCAAGATTATGATTTTGTTAGGTTTGTTTTTTTTTTTTTGAGGGGGGTATAGTGTACTGAGAATATTGAAAATCTTGCTGAACTGCAAAAGAATTCTGTTATTTTAGCAAAATACATATTTATTCTCATCTACTTAGCAAAAAATGCATACTTACCTTATCTCATCATGTGCATATGACTCAGTAATGGTATAATTTATACAGCAGTAAGAACCATATAATTACTTCCCATCTAAATATTAATTATAATTGTGTCAGTCTTTGAAGTGTTGAACGATGATTACAGTCGAAAATTATTTAGTATTTACAGAAAATCTAAGTGCAGTTTTAATAATTTGGATGATGCTTCTGTTTAAACACAATTACGTATTTACTATACTCATTTTTACATATCCTTCGGTGGGGGAGTAAATTGAAGTCCATTTTATCAGCGTATAACAATTTTTTTTCAGTAAAAATAGCTCTAAGAGATTTAGTGGATATGAGCCTCTGACAACTCTGCTAACTAGTACTGGTTGAAGATGCAGTTTAGTCCTTGTGTGAAGACTGAGTACCCGTGTGCCACGGAGGGGTAAACTCTCACATCTGCAGTTTAACTGTGCTGTTCTGCGAGTGAGCATCTCCAGCTTGTGTGTGTCTGTCCCATGAATGTGTGAGAAGTCCAGGCCTATGAACAAAGGCTAGATTTGTGGGTAGCGAAATTTCAGTGAAAAGAGGTTTCTGCACAAAGTGAGGTGCTCTGTTAGCGTGCGTGCCACGTCCAGCATCCGTTACTTACCTCACGCTAATGCAGTTACTAGAGGTCAAGGTCCCTTTTAACACTAGGGGTTCCTTACTGAAGAAAGAGACCAGCTGGTGCTGGAAAATGCAGTCATGCATGGGCATCAGCATGAGGCATCTTCTGGGGTTCCAGACACTGCCCTTCCCTTGGCTATACTCCTGGCTGTGCGCAGCTGTCGTACAGCGTCTGCAGGTAAAGCCAAGTGGTGTTTGGGGGGCCGCTGCCACCTTTCCATCCCTTGCTGCTGGTTTCTTTTGAGGAAAACTTACAGTGGGCTTTGCAGTGGTCTGGAAAGCCTGGTACTGGCCAGACTTTCCAGAGGGATAATGTGACTATCAACGTTACTCTTTTTTTTACTCCTGTCTAGTAGTACTGATAATCATGTTTTGCAGGTCACGTTCTGTCTCCGTCTACTGAAATACATGTTTAGACAAAAAATTATTTAAAAATGCTTTGTTGCCAAGACACTGAATGAAATGTACTAGTGACACCTACAAAAACAACAAAACGCTCTTCTTCTTCCTTCTGCTCTAAAACATGCGCAGTATCGTAAAATCAACAAGTAGGCTTGACTGGATAACATGTATCTACATTAAGAGTGGCTGATTTCAGTGTGTTCTGAAAGGCTTCACAAAGATCAGATGCGCTGCTTGTCACTGCTGCTGCTTTATGCTGTGTGATGTCATCTGAAGCACAAAGAAGGAAGTTTACCTAAACTTTTAAAATTCACTGTAAAAAATAAAATCCCATTGCATCCCTGTTTAAAGATATAAAATAGGTAAAACTTTCAGAGGTGTTACTCTTCCATTTAAATAATTTTGTCGGTCTGAGTTCTTCAGAAGAATTGAAGGAAAGAGCCACTTGTATTCACATGATTTGATTCGGAAGAGTCTGATAGTCAGTGGAAGAATTTTTCAGTACTTCCACTGGAACAAGTGGGATGGGGATATTCTGTTCACACACGACTGTCTCGTATAGGGGAGCAGCCTCCAGAGTGAGAGACGACAGAGAGATGGATGAGATGGGCTGCTGCAAGTCCTGCAGCCTGACTGCATAATTTGCAGCCTGTCCCGTAGTCCCAGATGCTGCTTCCTCCTCCAGGCTAATGTTTATAGATAGTTCATTCCTTTGACAAGGGTCCATAAGAGAGTATGGAGGGGGATCATCTGTGGGGATATATATTTGTGTTGCTCCTGGCCCCACGCATTCATCGTAGCTGAAAGAAAAAAAGAATTTTTCATTAGATTCCTGTGAAAAATGCCACAGTACACTATTTTCAGCGTAACAGGAGCAGGTAAAGTGAGAAGAGAAGGATCATCTGGTGTTTTGTTCATCAGCCCACATCCTTGCTTACCCTGCCATGTGAGACACTTGAGAGCACAATACTTAAAAGCGCATCTCTAAATACCTAAAGATAATCCAAGAAGCCTCAGTGAAGTATCAGACCCCATGCTCTTTCACAGAAGTAACGTCTGCGGCAGCACGGTTCAGCTGAGGTGCCTGAGGGTAGGCCCAGCTCCTTACCGCCGGCTACGCGGGAGCGGAGGAATGGCGCTGCTGGCTCGCACACAGCTGTGCGTGCTGCTCCGTGCACCGTAGCTCAACACGGCGGGCGTCCTTCCTGCCCTCAGCTGCCTGCAAGTAGCTAAGTCAGATAATGGCTGGGGAGAAAGAAGGGGTGTTGCCGATTTGGTTGTGAAGTAAGAGAGAGCACGCTTTAGATGGAGCCTAGCGCACCGCACCAAACGCTGTCCTGACTGCCCGGCGCCCAGCCAGCAGTTAGGGGCGGTGGGTGCTCTGGGTTGCGGATCTGTGCTGGCGGGGGCAGCAGGATTTCTTGCTGAGGTGCGGAGCTGTGATGAATAATCTTGGCAGACTCGTGCTGGTCATTCTGAGACTCGGCAGACTCCCTGCCGCATTCCTCCCAAACAGGAGGAATGCAAGACAGACCAATTTGTAGGCATTTTCTGTCCCACCAAACTAGAGCCTGGGGAAACTATAACCCCCTCCCGCCACTCCTGTGCTCAGTGCTTATGCCGACAGGCCCCTTGGACTGGAGCCTGGACTGCACAGCCAAGCGAGGCCCGGGAGGTGTAAATAATGAGCCTGGACAGACCAGCGTGTCTTTGTGCTTGTGTTTTCCCAGGTTACGTGTTGCAGGAAGGGGATGGGGATGGACAGAGTGGACGTAAGCAGGCTCCATGGATTTGTACCGTGCTGTGCTGGCCCTGCTCAGCCCCCTGAGCCCGAGGGCTCTGCGGAGGTTGCACTGTAGCCCCAAGGAGGGGCTGGTGAATCTGGTCTGAAAGGGTCCTCTTTCACTGGCTACAGGCGAAAGTGAGGACGAGTCATAACATCATGATTTTAAATGTTGGACCTCCTTTGTGACTGCCTTGTTTAACTGTTTCAGGATAATTTTAAATCCAATTCAACGAGGAAATTTTCCTGTAACAAAACCAAACCAAACCCCCCAAAAACCCAACAAAAATACCCACCCACCCAAACAAACAAACAAAAACCCCTTTGCCTACTCAGTTATCCTGAAAAACAACCTGGAGCCAGACAAATTAAGAACTCATTTCCTCAACCACACTAACTGCAGAGCTATTAAGATTTAGGATACTTCCTGAAACTTAGGATATTTAGCATGTCTTCCTAGCAGACTGCGGACAGGCATTCTGCTCCCTGACATTACTGCCAGGATAAACCCAAGCTAATACACCCTGCTGCAGACTGTAAGTGTCTTGCAGCAGTGCAGCTTGCATTGGTTACGGTGAGCCCAAAGCCACTGCAGTCAACCATGGGGGCCCTGCCTTAGAAAAATACTTGGTTCTGCTGCACTCATTCATACCTTTCCCTCAGAGTGCTCCTGTGGATTTTGATGTTATTGTTCTTAGTCTGGGTGATGGAAGTGTTTTTTGGGGAAGGGAAAGGTAAGAAAGTGAAATCTTAGTACTAGGTTACTAAATAACTCAAATATCCACAGGTGTTTTTATTACTACCTACTTTTAATCTTACTTCTTTATTCATGAGGACAGTGGTTTTAAATTCAGACTAGAAAATTTTGATATACCCCTCAGAAAGAATGGTATTTAAAACCATAACTTTGTTCTGAAAAGCCTGAATAGAGCTGCTTGATACTTCAGAAACAAGTCCCAGCACGTAGGAGGTCAAATTGGTTTTGTACAGCGTGTGGAAAAGATTTCAGTCCAGTCTCTACTAAGGCCACTGAAGCTTTCAAGCATATCTGACACTCTTTTAAGAGGTCTCGGACCTCAGTCAGAAATGGAGGATGCGATGTCCCCAGCTCAGCTCTTCATGAACTTAGTGAGAGTAAAGAAGAGGCACTCTTTGCAGGATTACTCACCATAGTGAGTAATCAAAGCTGTGTCTTTACTTAATTTACATTTTGCTGACCCAAAGCCCAGTAAATTTATTTAAAATCCTTCCACGGATTTTGACTGACTTAATCAGGCTAATGAAGAGCACCTACTGGGTCCTGTTACCATAGTAAAAAGAGTTTCAGTTTTGAAAAGCCCACAGTAATGTGAGTTTCAAGGTGGAAAGTTTTGAATCCTTCTGCTGAGACACGAAAAGAGAAGAAACTTCTCTGTCTCCTGATTCTGGGCCAGGGCCCAGTTCAAGGGAAATCTGCCAAAGACCTGAAGGAGAAATGGGCACAGTATGGACCTCCTACTCCTGTTGTTACCTGATCATCTGCATTTCTCTCCCTTGGATTTAATTTAATATCTTTTATGGACCATAGCTTGGCTCTGTAGAACTAAAATGCTTGGTGGGATAAGCAGCAAAATGATCTTTTGTGAAGGAGACTTTTAAATATCAAGACAACTGGGGAGCATATTATGGTATTCAAGACCTGGCATTTTAGTGTTTAGTTCTAAATAGGTTGGAACACAGGTTGCCCAGAGAAGCTGTGGATGCCCCATCCCTGGAATTGGTCAGGGCCAGACTGGATGAGGCTTTGAGCAACCTGGCCTAGTGGAAGGTGTCCCTGCCCATGGCAGGGAGGGTGGGACTGGGTGGGCTTTAAGGTCCCTTCCAAACCAAACCATTCTGTGATTTTAAGCAAGTCTTATAAGAAGTAATACACCGTTTGACAGGTACCCACTGTCCTCGTATGTTGGGTGTTGGAAAATCATTCCTCCAAAGATGTAGAGGGATGTATGGGATTACATGTAAGGGATTACCTACAAAAAAATTTTAATAGCAATCATTTCTTGCAGTTTACTACCACGTATTGCTGTGAGCGATACTGGACTAAATCCTTACTGTTGCCTTAAAGCTTCGTATTTGAGGAGAAGAGGCGAATGGACTCTCGCATTACACTGCAGTGAGGTGTGTATCAGAACGAAGTGGTGCTGCTCAGTTGTCCCGCAGCGTGAGGTATGCACCTCTGACACAGCTTTTAGGTTTCTTTCTTTTTACTTGCAAACAGCACAGAGCAGATTGAAGGAGTGGCTTTCTTAGAAGCTAGCACGGAGACCTTGATACCACAGGGGCCAAGAGGTACTACGTAGTGAGGGTTGCCACTAAAAAGAGCCAGTGCATTGTAACAATCGGTAATGATCATTCCTGATATTCAAATCATACTGTGACATGCAAGTCACTACGTATGGTAACCAATGCTATTGATTTCATCTGAAGGTGCTGGCTGTAAAGCTCGGTGATATGTGAAGCTGTGGTTTCAACATGAGCGAATGTCCATGTTGAAAGGAAGTGTCCCCTGCTCTGTTGCATATTCCCACTGTTTTCCTTGCACCACTTCCTCCCACTGTGATCCCCAGTCTGGAGCTAAAGAGGCAAAACGGTTGTGTGCATGGTTGTTTTTTTTGGGTGGGTGTTATTGGTTTGTTTTGTTGCTGTTGTTTTTGTATGTGTGTGTGTTTTTTCTGGGCCAGATTTCTGCTGCTTTAGCTACCTAAATTGGAAGGTCACAGCGCAGTCAGCTAGGCAACAATGCAGCACGAGGGAAGTAGAAGTGTAGGGGATGGAGGAACTCTTAGAGCTCAGCTCACAGGCAGAACTTCCTTGCCATATCATAGAAGTGCAACCTCAGTAACTGCCAAGGGAATGACACCTACATGTCTGAGTGTGTATATGTACGTCTGGCAGCTGAGAATGCAAGAGCATGGAGCTTGCATGACTGAAGAGGAAAACCAAAAGTAGTTGTTAGTCTCTTGCAAAAAATACAGTCATATTTTATCTGAGGGATTGAGTTCTGTGAAGTTACTATACACATTAAAAATAGCTCATGCTTGAAGTTCAGTACAGCAGTCACAGGAAAATCCTTTTAGACAAGAAAGCACATGCTTTTGGAAAGTATTATGTTACCATAACTTAATGGACCCCAGGAACACATTACATTGCATCTCATGAATATCATGTGTCTCTTTTTCAGCCCTGAAAAAAATCCTTCGTTACAGTACTTGTGGTGAGTTAACTTTCATTATTTTTTAAAAATCCTATTATGTTAAGGTTCAGTATATTTTACAGGCAGTCATGATAAGAAAGGGGTTACTGACTCTGAAATGTGCTGTTGTCTACATTTTTTTTTTCCTTATTTCTTGCCAGAACAACTTCATTGTCACTGTAGGCTATGCTATTGAGTTTTTAAGGGATAATTATACTAGGCAAGGCAAGAAGCGCTGATGTCTGTTAACATCATCTTGCCACATGTAAATAGGATTCACAAAGAGAAGACTGTTGCTTAAAAAATACAGCAGCACTTCAAGCTGACCTTGTTGACTCGGAATGTGTGTGTGTGTGAAAAAACTTCATGAATTTGTCAGGTCTCATTGCAGTAAGTATTAGGATAGGTTTGTTGCTAAGGAAACCCAAAAGAGCTTATTTAACTAGCTTGTCATTCATAAATTATGACCTATTCTCCAGGGAAAGAAGGTTCTACTTCCAGAATTTTTTAAGATGCAAACAATAGCTAGAGAAAAAGGCAAATATGGGGAATGAAGAATCCTTCTTTGTGACAGAGATTTCTGTTTACTTAGTTCATTTGTTATATGTTACAACTCTACTAAAATTTCTCCTATTGTTTTCAATTTGCTGATGACCTACTGTCTTCTTTTAATAGTGGTAAACAGAATCACGAAATCTGGAAAATACATGTGCTGTCAGGTTTAAGCTATGATGAAAGCAACACAAAGGATGCTTATATGATGTTGTTACCTAATAAAGAAAAGC